TTTTTTGTGAGTGTAAAACTCTTAAATACACCATTTCGATTATTATGAGTTGTTTTAGTAACATGTGAACGTACAGAACAGTTAAATAAGTTAGTTTTGTTGTTTGTTTGTTTGTAAAATAAGCACAAAGCTACATCATAAGCTATTTGTACTCTGCCTACCACTGGTATCGAAACCGCAGGCATATCGCTGTGTTACTGGGGGCACTTAGTTTTAAATTTGTCTGTTTCTCTATGTGTTTCAGAAACCGCTTCTGTTGCACTAGATTCTCTTCGAAAACTATATATATATGCAAATAAACAGAAAACTAATACAATTAAATAAAACCAATAATTGCGGTTTAAAATGGCGTGTTGCTTCAACTAATTAAATACCACAAGATATGTGAGTAAACCAACTAATATACTTTGATAAACCTAAGTTATCAGGCTGCTTGCAAACGCAAACAACAAAACTCCTGTAAAGGAACAGATTGGTATGCACTAACGCATTACACGAGTATAATGAATTATTACTCAGCGAAATATATATTCCGATACAAAGTCTTAATGATAGTGCATCAAACGTCGCTTCCTTTTCCAGAAAATCCTTCTAAATTCCGTACTTCATTTCATACATCAAGCGTTTCGAATCCTTTTCAAACAATATTTCATTAAATTCTAAAGGAAGACGTACTTGTTTGTTGCTACGATAATTAATGACAAATTAAAACCGAGAACAGTACAGCTTACCAACTACCATACATGCTAAGTTGGTTTGTGCATGAATGTAAATCCTATGAATTTTGAAATTTAATATATGTGCAAGCGTGAGTTACAATGTGATTCTTCTAAAATTTGTATTAACTCTTTTATGACGTCAGTATTAAAAAGCTCAGACAGCCATTACTTCTTTAAGAAACTACAAGAGAATACATAAGAAAGTCTACATGATAAAATAAATAAATGTAAATCAATCACGCTATTCCACATTGTAGGTATAATATACAACTTTATTGGTAAAATGTATTGATTTATTTATAA